CTGTCATCAGGAGTGGACACCGAACACACCACAGTGCAGGCTTATTGTGATAAAATAAATAATAGTGTAAAAAACAAAACTGCAAACCTTAATATATGAACATAAATAAATACACAAAATAATATATGAAATAAATAAAATATAGTATCCTATTTTTTTATCACTTTTGACAATACAGGGATTCCAGAGCCCAATTTATACACTATATGGCCATAAATATGTGGACACCTGACCATTACACCCATATGTGGATCTTCTCCAAACTTGGAAACGATGGAAGCACAGAATTGTATAGGATTGTATGCTGTAGCTTTAAGATTTCCCTTCCAGCATGACGATGTTCCTGTGCACAAAGTGAGATCCATGAAGAAGTGGTTTGCCAGGTTTGTGTGGAAGAAATCGAGCGTCCTGCACAGAGCCCTGACCTCAACCCCACTGAACACCTTTTGGATGAACTGGAACGCCGACTGCAGCCCAGGCCTCGTCATCCAACATCTGTGCCTGATCTCACTAATGATCTCGTGGCTGAATGGACACAAATCCCCACAGCCATGCTCCAAAATCTAGTGGAAAGCCTTCCCAGAAGAGTGGAGGTTATTATAACAGCAAAGGAGGGCTGAATCTGGAATGGGATGTTCAACAAGCACATATGAATATGATGGTCAGGTGTCCATAAATCTTTGGCCACATAGTGTATGTTATAAATACTGGATCTCCTTCAGAAACCTCACTGGTAAAAAGGCACAAAAATCATACAGCGGTATCACAGTTTGAAATTTCCACAGTATGATAACCTAGTCTAAAAAAATAATCACTGTTTCATGGTATCACTGTATTAACAACCATTCAAAAACATACAAGCTGGAGATTATGAGTTATGCAGATATCAGTTTTACTCAGAAAAATCCAACTTCCAACATGGAAAAATGCAATGGAAATGTAAACCTTTCTACTTGATGTGTAACTTTTCTGTCATAAAAAGGTGTTTTAAAACTAATCCCAATGATGCCACAGCCATCTGTAGCCGGGAGTCCAAGAGAGGAAAAATTGGGGGGAGGGCTGGCATACTCTCTCCTCTGTCAATCACAGTGACACTAACCGATCGTGGGCATCTGTGAGCTCATGTATGTGGAAGAGGGCAGGTAGGCCTTTCCTCAGAGTGTTACACTGCCCTGTGATGCAGCAGGAGCAGCAGTTCGAAAAGATGCGGTTGGCTGGTTTCATGTGTCTCGGAAATTTCATGCTAGTCTTTACCGTCCCCTGTTGGTCACTGTTGTATGATGGGGAGAGCTGGCTGGTGGGTGGGAATTAGCAAATGATCAAATTGGGGAGAATATTGGAAGACAAAACAGACAAACAAGCCAGTGACACAAAAGAGCGGTCAGTATCTGTCACATTGTCATTGTCATTATAAGCCGAAAGAGAGATCTAGACCCCTCTCACCCCCCCCCCCCCCCCCAAAAAAAAAAAAAAAAAATCTAACTAGCTTGGCAGTGTGCAGAAATAAATCCAATAATTTACATTTGTTTGGTTTAGTTCTGGTCAGCAATGCTATGTTGCTCTGTGGGTTTGATAGCAGCAGCAGAGGAAGCAATGTAGCATGTTTATAACAGTAGCTGATTACACAGGCAAAGGGCTTTCAGCGCCGTCACGTCCAGGTGCAGAAGGCAGAGGCTGCTGTCGTATGATTTAGGACACATATGTCAAACTAAAGGCCTGCAGGCCAAGCATGGAACTATAAATATGCTGAACAAAGAAGTGTTGATGGCGCATGAAGATCAGTGCATACATGTTTTTAGCAGAGGTAAGCCTGTGCGAGTTCTTCTGAAATGTCCTGCTTAACGCTGTGTTTTTGTTTTGTTTGTTTTTTTTTGATATTTAGAAAACAGCTATATTTAAAAAAAAAAAAAAACTTTAGTCAGCACAATAAATGTAATCACATTGTCCTATAAGTGCATGCAGTTAGGCCTTCTTTTTCTTATAAACATCCTATTTTAACACCAGAAGGCTCTGAAAGTAATCAATACAATAGATAATAATATGTTAAAAATGAATAGCCTTAGATTATGGCCCATTAAGGGCTCTCAAAAATGCTGATGTAAATTGTTAAGGAATCGCAGTCAGACACAAAAGGGATGAGAAGCACTGGAGTAAGGAACTTGATCAGGTGAAAAAAATTAACAAGTAGATGGTAATAGATGGAAACGCATTTTACCAATCTACCTTTTGAAAAAAGATAACCATCCGATCATACACTGTGACTAACTCTGACAACTACTAACAAGTGTGATGAATAATAAAGGACGTCACGGAGTGGTTCAATCTCATACGCTTACTAAATATACAGTTTTTGCATCATCATCATCATCATCATCATCTCTTCCCTGGCAACTTGCAGACATTGTGTTGCTCATGAACAGTTTATGAACAGATAGTGTCTCTGATAAATGTTGGATGCTGCAGAGAATGACTACCCATAGAGCAGTTCAGGTGTGCATGCCCACTCTAATAAAAACCTACTTAAATGCAAAATACAAAAACTCTTAATGTATACTGTAGAAATACTGTCCATCCCTGGATATGTTGTGTTTGCTAACCTTATGACTTTGTCTTCAGATATTTAACTGTGCACATCGACTTCATCCTGTGTTTGTGTTTATGAATTTATGAATCCATCTGCATTTTTTTTTATTCACATTTAAAAAAGTTTAGTAAGCAGCTGCTTCTTCAAAAACAGATTTTTCCATAGTGAAGCTTGCAAATGTCAAAACGATCACCAAACAATAATTATTGTTGCCAAGAATCACTCAACTCCAACTGAGAGGTTTAGATTGCTATTTGTCTGGAACACAGAGATGCAATTAATAAGATAAGAACATAGCTCAGTATGCATATTGTGTAAAAACGACATGAACAACGCCCATGCAAAGCATCTCTGTGCCTGTTAAGCACTGATGAATGCAGAGGGCTAAAAACTAATAACCATCAACAGTTCAACAATGAAACTATTAGTGTTAAGAAATGCATTATATCTCAAAGTCTCTTCGATGCCATAATAATTATGATGTGGGGCCAACTATTACACACACTCTTAAAGACAGATAGCCAGTTTGTAATGCTACTGGGTTCATATTGTTTTTCCTCCGAATACCAAACATGGTAAACGAAAAAGCTGCAACCTTTTAGTTCAAACCAAAAAAAAACCACACTGAACTTATGGTTCTTATGGTTTACTTTTAATTTCTTCTCCAAATGCATTGTGGGGAAAAAGGATGATAGAGTAAACCAAATAACCCACCTTGTTCAAGTTTAATACACACTTGAATATATTTCACATATGCGCTGTTTCAATCATGGCTGTGTCAGTGAAGTGCACTGAAGATACTTCAGATTAAATAAAGAAGCAAAGTTACACTCACAGCTGTTACTGGCAGCCTGCACGAATTTACAGTCTGGGCTAAACTGAAGTCAGCCCCAGCCTCGCTTCTTCATACCACTTGTGTAATTTTCTTACTGCCGGTGCTGTTGGCTTGGTTCCACAAAAGTCTGAAAATAGTCCGCCTTAAGACATTTGTTAAGTAAGGAATAAAACACGACTGGGCTTGCTGTTATAGGAATCCACGACAGGGTGGTGTGATGGGGCACAGCGTGAAGCAGGATGAATAATTTTCCTATAACAGCACAACATTTAATGTTGTGGAGCGTCCACAAGAGTAAAAGTTAACAAAAGCTAGATCTTATTATCACTTATGTTATACACTATAAGGCCAAAAGTATGTGGACACCTGACCATCACACCCATATTTTCTTGTTGAACATCATTGTTGAACCCATTCCAGATTTAGACCCCCCCCCTGTTGTTATAATAACCTCTACTCATTTAGGAAGACTTTCCACTAGATTTTGGCATGTGGCTGTGGGGATTTGTATTCATTCAGCCACAAGAGCATTAGTGAGATCAGGCACTGATGTTGAGTGAGGAGGCCTGGTGTGCATTCGGTGTACCAGCTCATCCCAAAGGTGTTCAGTGGGGTTGAGGTCAGGGCTCTGTGCAGGACACTCGAGTTCTTCCACTCCAACCTTGGCAAACTATGTCTTTATAAACCTCACTTTATGCACAGGGACATCATCATGCTGGAACAAGTCTGGGCCTCTTAGTTCCAGTGAAGGGAAATCTTAATGCTACGGCATACAAAGACATCCTATACAACTGTGTGTTTCCAACTGTGTAGCAGCTGTTTGGGGAAGAACCATATATGTGTGAAGGTCAGGTGTCCACAAACATTTAAACGGTCTTTACCACACCAGCCTCGTTTTTTCTCTCTCTGTCTTAATAAGACAAAAACCACAGCTTATAACACTACCAAAAAACCAAGAAGTCCTCTGTCCTGAAGACTTGCCAATGGCAGAAAACCTACTGACTGTTACAAAGTGCTGATACTGGAGACTCCTTCCACAAAGGGTGCATAAACGTCTCCATATAGAAAACTGTAAGTTAGCTGTTAGAGATAAAATAACTGAAGCAGCAAAAAGAAGGATTTAACTTCTTTTAGTTAAAATGTTCTATAAATTCCTGACTTTTTTTTTTAACTTGCATCATAGATGCATAGGTTTTCCCTGACCTAATTTATTCAATCATTACTTCTCGGTTTAACTCTTGTTTGCTGTTGTTTTTATCTTTTTCCAACCTTTTGTTTCTTTTGTTGGTTGTTGCCTCCGACTTCCTTGTTTATTATTTTCTTTCCATCCAAAACAATATATGAAAAAGTAGAAAAGTAAAGCTGGGACAGAAGCAGCTCCACCGATCATCACAAGTGAGTTAGTTAGTTAGTTACATTGAAAACCCTAACAAGTTGATTGTACTCAACTGATTCATTTTACCCGAGTAATGGAGTCTCCTAAAACTTGTATATTTAAGTTCACTTAACTTGGTGCTCTTGTAGACTGTACTTAAATTGTTAAACTCACTTAACTTGGTGTTCATATAGTGTACGTTATAGCTTACTGACCATGGATTGAACCCGGGCCATGGCGGTGAGAGCACCACATGCTAACCACTAGTCCACCAGGGAACTGATGTACTGAGCTAATTAAGTTCACTTAACTTGGTGTTCATTTTAAGTGTACTTAAATACAGGGTGTCCCAAAAGTCTCCATACACTGGGGAAGTTAACTTTTTTTCTTTTTCTTTTTTTTTTTTAGCAAAATGTAACTTTATTTACAAAACATCCTCCACATGATTGCCATTTCTTTGTAAACACACATGGAGTCATCTCTCCTACTCATGATGATCTCTAGAACCTCACTACACCAGTACCAGCAACAGACAGATGAAAAGCACCGCCTTCTGCAATTATCTACCAATCAGCACATTAGTTCTCCTGTTGCTAGGCAGAACTCCTTTGCATGGCCAATCACATCAAAGAAAGACCAGCGTGAGCTATTTTAATGAATCATGATTTTGAGTTCATAACACTTGAAAGCTTAGGTTTATGTATTTTGTAGGTAAATAAGTTAAACAAACTTAGATTTTTGATTTATGGGTACAAAACGTTTTACAACATTTTAAGTGATGTTTAGTCATGATTACTTTGTTTATGTAAAGCCAGCATTAGGGTTTACAGTGTAGTTAGCAGTGTAGTGGTTAAAGGTGAGTTAGCCAGATAGATAACAGCAGTGATACACATCTAACTGAGCTCAAAACAACATAATATTTATATATTTTCATCAAAAATATTGCAACTAACATCCACAAACCAGTTTTCACTTGACTGGTTCATTCATTCAAACGGCTGCTAGTTTGTTTGTTTTTTTCTTGCTAGTCAGATTTTCTCAGTGTTCCTGACATACACTTACCTTCACTCCACAAAAACCTCGACTGCGCTGAGAATATTTTTCCTAAGTAGTAAATAAAAATCCAAGCATGAACTTGAATAATTAAAAAATATATATAAATATATATTTGGGACAATATGCGGAAAGTTTATGTAGTAATGATAACACAGCTATCTCCACCACTTTATCACCCCCTCCGCCTTTGATTCCTGACGTCATCAGATGCGTCACGCTGGCAACCTGAAATAAACGTCATTACTAATGACGTACTTTTTTTTTTTTAATATATATATATATATATATATATATATATATATATATATATATATATTCACCATTAATCTTTGCCAGTTGATCACTCTTATTCTTACAAGTTTTTTTTTTTTTGTTTTGTTTTTTGCATCGGAATTTTCCGAACTGTCCAAAAAATTGCGTTTATTTATGCAAATGAGGCTTCGTCTAATCCCATATGCATACATTTGCATATTCAATAAAACCAAAAATCTAATCTTTTAATGTTGTTCGAATTGAAATCTTTATTTCGCTCACAAGAGAAGAGATTATACAGAACAGGTTGCTGGAAAATCATTTCTTTATTGCTTATTCAAGAAAATACTACATACTGTGGTATAATCAATATTTATTTTTATTTTATAAAAATATTTGATGCCCTTTTTTAGGATGAAATCTAACAGAAAATCAAACAATAATCAACATTTTGGGAAATTTCTCAGTGATATCCTTCTGATATTCATGAATGCAGGTCATCAGGAGATTTTTGGCTCTGAATTTTAAAAAAAAAAGAGAACATTTTTAAAAACACAATGTGATTTCATGTGTTACGACATGGTCTAGTGGTTTATTAGATTCATAAAGGAAATTTTACATGTATATCATAAAGACAGAAAAATAGACATTTCAGATAATGTAGTAGGGGGAGACAGCGGCTTAGTGGTTAACACGTTTGCTTCACACCCTGTGTGTGGAGTTTGCATGTTCTCCCCGTGCTTCGGGGGTTTCCTCCGGGTACTCCGGTTTCCTCCCGCAGTCCAAAGACATGCGTTGAATGCTGATTGGCATTTCCAAATTGTCCGTAGTGTGTCAATGTGTGTACGTTTGTGCCCTGAAATGGATTGGCACCCCATCCAGGGTGTCCCCTGCCTTGTGCCCCGAGTTCCCTGGGATAGGCTCCAGGCTTCCCCATGACCCTGTGTAGGATAAGTGGTATGGAAAATGGATGGATGGATAATGCAGTGGTCTTGGGTGGACACAAAGGGAGAAATTAACACTTTTCTGTTCAGCGTAGATATTTTTATTACTACAGTTTAAGAGAAGAATGTTAAAGGTGCCATTTACCCAAAAATCTGTCAAATTGATTTAACCAAAATTGCATTTCTACCTGTAGTATCTTGCCTTAAAATTCAGATCATATTGCTGTTCATTGTCTAAAGATTGTAGTGTATACAGTGTGTACCTGTTGATCTCCGTAAGCAGGGAACTTACGGAGATCAACATTTAAAATGTTCTTTATTTTTTATTTTATATACCAGTTTTTGAATGCTCTTAATCAATGACACAGATTAAGTGGCTTGATGTATTGCAAAAAAAGTGCCAGAGTTGATAAAAATATGATTGGTATTAAAACAGTTCATTGTTGTGAGCGTGATGGTGTCACGTGCATGTCAACCCCATGGGGCAAGAAGATGGAAAAATATAAAATGCTATATAATACCCTGCAGTGAGTGTGGTAAAACTCTGTATTTCAGAATAACTTCTAAAAATACTTTGGATCAGTTAATACAAAATGTGTGCTCTTGCAGGCTGTTGCTCCTGTGTCTCCACAGCAGATGTCCATCTCATTTAATTGGCTGCACAATTTTCATTGAGATGTAGTTCTGCAAGAGCAAAATACAAATCATTAATGCATTGTCATATGAGGGAAATAAGAAGCTGTCTTCACTATAATATAGCACCGTATGATTTGGGAAACACTATCAGCTCTTTATTAACTAAATTCAATCTTGTCCTTACCGGTAATGAATAAAGAAGGATTCCAAGGAACAGCAGCACTAATAGCAGTATAATCAAGCCAATAAACAGCCACTTGAATCTCCGCCACACAATGAACTTCAAGGTCTTGCATGGGTTGGTGAACCAGAAGAAGGAAGTTTCGGGTCGGCTAAATGAATCCAAAAATGATACGTTACCAAATGTCGGCATTATATTAAACTTTAAATACTTTGTGATAGCTGCTTGTGATTACTTGGGTGGGTTGAGCTTTGGATTCATGTTGGGTTCATCTCTGCCTTTTCCTGCTGGTCTCTCATCCGCCTCCTTCTCATTCACTATCTCCAGTGTCATCTCCACTTTCCCCTAAAAAGTAGTGTCATTTTTTAAATTCATCTCTGATGAATTATTGAATTACAAGGTCTTAAATAAATCTCATGGAAGCTATACATACACCAAGCTCCTTCTTTCCATCTTTTTCAAGGTAGCAGGGCCACCATCCTCTGACTGATTTCTGGGCAAACAGGGACTTGGACTGGTCAAATTTCTGATGTGTTTTAGTCACATTATCCAGCATGTGCAGGCTGCATTTCTCAGGTGTTTTTGCAGGGGAGATGAGATTGTGCAGATTCAGTTCAACAGTGCCTGTGAAACATGGCAAATTAGCACCCTCTACCACATGAGCAAGAGAATTTCAGACGTCTCGTACACAAAATAGGCATGAAATCTTACCAAGGTAATCATCCAGAGAGAATTTATCGTTGTCCCATATCTGAATGATCAGCTGAGGTGGAATTCGGAATTCTGTTTTGTCAAGACTCCAAAAATGTTCCTGTTCAGACAGAACACCTTCTAAGCATTTTTACAGAACAAAACTTCCTGATATTCATCTTCACATACTAACTTTTGAATGTATTTTATGATTTACTAGGGAGCCGGTAATACAAGGCATTATCAGCTTTGTATTTGTATTGAAATTGAATACTTGTACTCTTACTTCATTATATTTCCAAGAAACAAAACTTACTTTTTACTCCTTACATTATTATTTAGACCTTCAAAGTATTCGTTCACAAAGGTCTCTTCTTCTCATCCAGGCAATGACTGTGCGTTATATATCAATCGAATGGGCTCAGTTTAGCATCCAATCATTTCAGTTTAGCTTCCAATCAAGTACATCAATGCTATCAAAACTATCAAGAATCATGCCAATTTAAAATCTGCTGTGACCTTATCATGCTACACAATGAAGTTAGCGGTAGATCTGCCCATTGAGGAAGAGCGCTCCAGGCCCTACCTCAGTAAAATATCACAATAACCTGGAGTACGCAAAGACTTATATAAAATAAGGAGTCTGCTTTACCTCTCTAGAAGGAATGAACTCCATTTAATTTGAAAAAGCATGTTGAGGTACATTTCGCTAATTTGATTACATTACCTGGCTATAATTAAATAAGTTAGACTGTTTTCTTTTTTGCTAATGCCAGGTTAGACTAGCAACTAGCCAGGTTAGACTAGACTGATTCCAGTAACTAATGTAACTGCCTAGGCAGCAGTCTTGCTAATTATAAATATTGGTTATGTACTTGATATTTTACTTCAGGTTAATTCATTTGCAAGATATGTAGCATTAGTCATATGTATGAGCACCAAACTTACAGAGACTGAACGATGTTTTCAGGCAAAACAGTGTAGTTATTTTATCATCTTATGATACATCATCTTCTAACAGTTTTATATAACCAATTAAAGTTACTTTTCATACCAAACATGATATTAACTAAATTTCATTAGTTAAAAAAATACTTTTTAATATATTAATTTAAAAGTAGCAACTTTTTTTTTTTACTTTCAATTGAGTACATTTTTGGCTGGATCCTTCCACTTTTAATTAAGATTTTAACATGTTATCTATACTTTCACTTGTGAATAATTTCTCAGGACATTTTCCACCCCTGGTCTGGAACCTCAACACCAAAACACCCAGGATTGCAGAAAAATGTCCAAACGATTGTGGAAGACAAATTGGAGTCATAGTAGTGCAATTCTGGCAGCCGTATTCACTGTCAAGCTAACCAGAGTTTGTTAGGTTTTTTTTGTTTGTATTTAAGTTTATTGCCATACCAGCTTCATTGGCTATTTCATGGCAAATACAGATATTAATCAAACATTTAATAAAATTCAGCTTATAAAAAATCTAACATTTCTGTGCAACATGACAACTCTATAA